AATCTGCGTTTCTGTAAGATCGCTTTAGGTTATTGTGAACTAAGAGACGGACTGGCCGACAGACATACAGGCACAAAACGGACCGACGGATATCACGGTTTTAGAATCGAGTTTCATATAGAGCTTCTGGACAACTGCTTCTTAATAATAAATATTGTTATGTACGACTGCACGACTGCTTGATAATACGGTGATTATAGAGAGAAAAATTGTAGAATACTGCCTCCTGTAAGGGGGTCTTGGAAGTGCCCCCCCCCCCTTAACTAAGCAGCCACCTCCACTCCTCGTCCACTCCTCATTCTCGGCAATCCGTTTAGTTCTTACCTACTTGCAGTCAGGGGCGTTAACCTGCCCCCCCCCCCTCCACACACTTAGAGAGTTGACAGTCTTATATTATAAAGTAACGCGTTCGTTATGCGCTCGCACGCGCCACCGATAATAACTCTTGCGCCATTATCGTTTTTTAGCAATCCGAAAAGACATTTAGGAGGGGCCAAGTATATGTAGCCCCCCCCCCCCCCCCCAGTACGTATTTTGTCGCTGGTATCTATGCCATCTGATACATCTGGATATGCGCTCAATTAACTTGAATTAAAGCTAGCGTCATGTTTCTATACTAAATTGTACTCCTAGGTATGCGCTAAAATGCGCCATAAAATGATATCTTTGCGCCATTCTTGTTTTTTGGTTATCCTTAAATATATTTGGGAGGGCCCAAGTGAACGTTAAGACGTTAATTGAAAATGAAAATGTTAGGGCGATTAGAATACATGAAGTGTCGAAAAATCTAAGTACCTATTCAATAAAAAATTATCGAAGTCCTCGAGTGAAGGGACTTCAGCCCATATTTGTATGGCAGATCACTACTCTATTAGCAAGTTTTGACCCCATCATCAGTCAGATCTTCTAAGAGGCCACTACATTCTCTTTGTCGGTACCCATTTCCGACGTCCCCTTAACCCGCCATTCGCATTTTGGTGGATTTCGCTGAAAATCCCCCACAAAATAGTACTCCATTTTTGGGACACTTGTTCATAGCTCGAGCTTCTATTGGCGACACGAGAAAGTAAGACCGCGATTTTGTATTTAGGAAACTTTAAACCGAGTGACGAAATTTACGGGGGAAGGCAACTTTTGGGCGGCCGAAGACGCGGGCCTTGTCAAATGTGGTTTATTTCGCCTCTCCGAAAAAAAAATAATATGTCGTCACGCAGGAGTTTACAAGATCTTTCCGACGACACCAATTTGAAAACAATCGGACCCAAGTTATAGAAGAAGATAGAAAAACACAGAAAAATCACAACGTTAGCATAACACTCGGAGATGGCGCCCAGATGTCGCTGACTCCAGATCTTGAAGCCCCGTCCCTAAAGTTGTTATTACATGTTTTGCCAGGTTCATACGAACTCAGCAGAGCACTACCTTAAAAACCCAAGAAAATGAAAAGTGAACTAACTATATGTAGGTGCTAATAAGTGCCCTATTCCCGAATTAAATGCTCCTTTTTTTTAAATTATTACATGTTCTGCCAGGTTCATAATTAAAAAAAAGAAGCATTTAATTCTGGAATAAGACATTTAATTAACACCTAATTAGCACCTAAATATAGTTAGTTCACTTTTCATTTTTTTGGTTTTTAAGGTAGTGCTCTGCTGAGTTCATATGAACCTAGCAGAACTAAAAAAAAGGAGCATTTAATTCGGGGATAGGACACTTAATTGGCACCTAATTAGCACCTAATTATAGTTAGTTCACTTTTCATTTTCTTGGGTTTTTAAGGTAGTGCTCTGCTGAGTTCGTATGAACCTGGCAGAACATGTAATAATTAAAAAAAAGCAGCATTTAATTCTGTGATAGAGCACTAAATTAGCACCTAATTATGCAATATGTTTGATTGTGTTCTGCTGAACTTGCTCTGCTAGATTAATGGACATTATAGTAATATTAGGAAATACCTCTGGAAATATTATACTATTTCGATTAAGTAGTTGAATGAGTTGCTGAAATTTGCGCCACTGAATATCTAACAAATTTGACATATACCTATATAGTAGGAAATTTTGTTCTCTACAATTTTTCTCCCTTGGCATTTTTTCATAAAATGCTTAGTTTTAGTCATTAAAAAAAATTTTAAAAAAGGTAGATCCCATTTAAGGGGTGGTTTTGGAAATACTTGACATCTGTTGTCAATGATATACAGATTCTATAGTTTATTGAATTCCATGAAATTTTTATTTTTAAGGGTTGTTGCAGTCGTACATAAAGCTTTGTGTATATCACGTCCATAAATAGGTTTTATGTGGACTCTACATGTTTATTTGCGTGTCGACTGTAAGCTCGCTCGGCCAAATAACCGGCTCGTCCATAAAGACCCAGTTTATGTACTTGATATATAAATAACTATTACCCAAAATCGTCCTGAAACCTTCATTTTCATGCCTACTTTCTGTCAGGCAATTTGAGTTTCCATGACAGAGGAAGAGTTTCCTGCCGCACCTGTCACTTTACCGGCCGCATCTGTGACATTTCCAAATGTCTATATTGACTTCTGTCATCACTGACAGATTGACATCAATCAAAAGTTCTATATGAAACTTGAAATTTTATATTAAAATACGATTTCGGGTAAAATTTAATACTAAACTCGTCAGTAAAATGACATTACTTGACTCGGATATTAAAGTACTCGGCCCCAAAGGGCCTCGCTCTTCAATATTTCCTCGCCAGTAATGTGTCATTTTCCTGACTTTTATGTAAATAACTATTTTTCTGAAATCTCTCGATACTACTTTGTCAGAGCTAATTCAGGCATTAAAATACGCCAATGCAGTGTTTTAGCCCGTTGCTAAAGTAACTTTCCTGAACCGAAACGAGCCCTGGAAAATTGTTGCCGCCCTATGTTTATGATAATGTTTATTGCGATTTCAGAAAAAATAGTATGTGTATGTGTACCTTGGAGTAAAAGCGGACTCCCATATTTATTGGTTTCGGCTTTTACTAATAGATACACAATCTACTAGGTACATTTAAATTGTTTTATTCGTTTGAAGATTGATAATTGCAAAGGCGATCTCCTATTGGACCATTCTTGCAAATCACAGGGTCTGCCAAAAATCCTCATCCCTTTCCTACAACTCAACATTTTGTTAAATTCTTAAGAATGGCGTGAAAGTCGCACGACATCTATATGTCAGTTTGTCCTTTATTATAAATCATTTTGATTAGTACATGAGAAAGTCAGTCACAATGGTTTCAATTCAAGGATTCGGTTTCAAATATTGTTAGATGTGGTATTAGCATAGTGTAAGATCTATTCTTTACACTATGATATTAGGAAGAGGAATTTCCATTTTTTACCGGCTTCCCACTCTTGGAGTGGGGGATCAGGGACAGGGAATAGTTAAATACCTACTATATAGTGCTGAATTTAACACATTAATTTATGGAAATATACGCACTACATGATTCATACTTGTTACCATATTTTTTAACTCCTAATTTAGATTTATGGCTCCAAAGTATGGAACACAATTTTCAAAGCACTGTTAATACCTACTGTAGGTTAATACCAAGACTGTAAAGGCTATTTAGTTTATTAATATAATTCAGGTACGTTATAATTACAAAAATAGAAGTAACGAACACATGATTAAAAAACAATAAATTTAATCACCAATCAAAACAACGAACTTCCCGACATCATTCTTTCGGCACAGTAATGCGGAAATTGCACACCCGATAACAGTATATCCGATAAACCCTGTAAAAAAATAATCACCGTAGAATTTATTTGCCCCAAAAATACCTACCTTTAAAGGAGGTATGCAGACTGACAACGGATGGCAAAGAATATAGAATCCCGCGCAGAAACATGCGACAAGAAACGATATGAATATTAAAACAATTAACCACAAGATTGAATTGATCGGATTGCCCATCTGAAAAAAAAACGTTACTTACTTATTTGTGTCGATGATTTGATGTTTTAATTGAACGCAGGTGATGATGTTTACTTGCGATGATTCATTATTATGTTGCATAATTTTATAATGTTATCAAGGCAAAAGTTATATTTAACAAATTATCAAAGATTTACTTTTATTTGTTTCCACTCCAGTTGCCAAGTAGGTAAATGGAGCAATGATCTTGTAATGCAAAACGTGAATTTTGTCGAATGATAATTTGGGACAAGCGAATAAGTTCAATTGAAACTTACGTTTTTGTAATAATGGAAGAACTACGTAACTTTAAGTATGCTTCACTTTCTTCAAATCTTGATGTACCGTTACAGTCATGCTTTGGAGAAGTGGTTTTGGGCGTGAACGTTAGTTTGTCGTTCGACTGAGATTGTGCTTATGATAATTATTTTTAAAAGCTATGCAACCCACTTCGCTTTTTGCGTTATAGGAGGGGACGAAGTTTCCATTTTTCAATGTTTATGGAAGAACAACCGTGTAGTAGTACTACGGTGGACAATGACCTCTGACCTACATCACCAAACTCATACGCATACTAAAACTGATTAATAATGCAATATGCACAATATGGCATAGGTACGTTTAGAAATTCAACGCAGGCTTGAGTATGAATTAGCTCATAAATCTGTTCTATGCCCGTTGAAACAGTGTGTAAGGGTGGCCAAAAACGAAAAGGGTTTAATCCCAAACAAATCAATATCATTCCACTTATCCACAATTTGGCGAAAACACCCAAAATGGCTGTATGGAATTCAATGATAATCAATTTGCATTTTTTGCGATACAGTCCAAATGCTCTTTAGCCATGTTTGCCTTTGGGCTTTAAACCTCCACGTAGCAATCCGTGCAAACACTTCAATTCGAATCAACTCTTAATGGACTATAATTACTTAACCTTTGAGAAGTGAAACTGGAATGTCGTGCTATTAATACGTTCAATAATGTTGTGAATTACTATTTCCGAATACTCACGAATGAACAATGAATTTTTTATTGTTAGATTATAATTGTTTCTTTTTTCAGATGATGCATCCGACACTATCAACTTCGATTTTCCTCGTAACGATTGCCTACATCGTATTGGTGTTTGGACAGCAAAATTACACCCCCGACCCTTACGGTAGCACGCAACAAAGGTACAACAGTCAAGACCCCTACAATAATCAGCCTTACGACCCGAACCGTCCATACAATCCACAAGATCGCTACAACAACCCCCAAGACAGGTTCAACCAAGACCGCTACAATAACCAGGATCGCTACGGTAACCAAGATCGTTACGGTAATCAGGATCGATATGGTAATCAAGATCGTTACGGTAACCAAGATAGATACGGCAACCAAGACCGTTACGGTAACCCCAACCAAGATCGTTACGGTAACACTAACCAAGATCGTTATGGGAACCAAGATCGTTACGGTAATCAAGATCGCTATGGAAATCAAGATCGATATGGAAACCGACCGACTGGACCTGGACAGCCTCCCTACGGCCAAGGGGGTACTTACGACACCAGGGGCGGGTCTGGTTTGCAAGGTGACGATTTTTGTTGCGAGGAATTCTGCTACAGAAGAGAGGAATCTTATTTACAGTTTGGAACGAAAACAGCCTACCAGTTCGTTGTACGGCAGCGGCAGAATGATCAATTCAATGTACCTAGTAAGTGCGCTACTGTTATTTACGTTTGAGCACCGGGGTACTTCCTTCAAATTAGCGATTGTTCGTAGCAATTTATGCACACTTGCGACGAGTTTATTAACTCGAAGGTTTAACAGCAATAAAATGCTTGACCTAATCATTTAGGGTCATAATTACGGGTGTGAATCACGAAAGAATTTATAGTAGGTTATAGGCCGACATTCTTTTTGATTTGGATTAGATGTTGGTTTTTGTAGTATCCTTCCTTATTTGGAAAATAAGTGTACCTATTATGATTTTCTAACCACGTTTGTCCAACCTCAATTTTTTACGTAAATAATGGTATACTTTAGAAGCGGTTTTCAAATTAGATACCGAAAGAGGTTGTTATTGTGCTTGACGCATTGTAATTAATTCTCAGAACTATAATAGGAAACCGAAATATGTAAGGGAGTTTAAATAAGCCGTCTTGTTTACACAATTGCCGTGTGTGCAAGGGACTCATTTTTAGAAAAATGCATTTTATCCTTTTGCCTACGTAGGTGGATACCATAAAACTTTACCTACCTATAAATGGCAATTGGCATGTATCTTGAAAGAAAAAATAAGAAAACTTAATTCCGGTGAATTGTTTCAATATAATAATCATGAATTTGCTTCATATGTTTACTGCATCTTAAGTAATGTTTTCCATCCCTCCGATCGCAGAGTTCATATTGCCGGGACGTCCTAAGCCGGGATGTACATTGTTGCCGGGTTTTGCCCATCGCCGAGATAACCGAAGCTGGGAAGTAAATGGTCGCCGGGATGACTTGTCTCCGGGAAATCGGGAGCTGATTACCAGTTGCACTCTTCAGTCTCAGTTTTGACGATTGTAGCTTTTTCTCCCGGACTAGGTCAGGTCTTACGATGGTCTTCGTTACACCCGTATCTAACAGCATTGTACAGGGTGGCCAAATAAGAATGCGAGGTACTGTATCTGGGAACCTGTCCATCGTAAAGGCTTGCGGTAAAAAAATTTATTACTAAAACGGCCACGAGAAAAACCTGGAAAATAGTTTTAAGTTTCTGAAATGGCCACTAGGGGGCGTAACTGTAATCTGGAATCTAAAAAAGTGATGTTTCTGGGAATTCCGCTATATTAACCTAACAAAAAAATGCCCGGTCTTTGAAGTCGACGATAATCTGAACCTTTTTTGTTTGACAATTATTGCTGTATGTCTAAAAATAAAGTGGTGGGGGGTTTCCGTCAGGAACACCCTGTATCTTCGAAACGACTGAGCCGATTTAAACAAACTCGGGTTATTTCAAAAGAGGTATTCTTCAACTACAAATATTATAATATTTGAAGTTTTTTTAGTTTCACATATCGCCGCTTGAGGGCTTTTTTCGACAGTCCGACAGAAATGGTTAATTTTCTCTTTTGCAAATTTCAAAGCGTTTCCACATCGTGAACACCATCGATGAACGTCTTCACTGCCAGCGCCCAGCTGCTCTATAGAGCGTAGGATACGCCAATCTGATCAATCGGTCTATAGAATAGAATACACGTCATTTTTTCCGGAAGGATTGAGTCACATCCGCCTGCTCTTTCGCCGATGTCTAATCTTTCATGACGCCTCAATGTCTACCGTGATTTCTGGAATATTCGCTACAATATGACGCATTTTGGGGGTTACTTGTCATTCGCGCACTATTTGTTCTCCTTAAGCTAAAAAACATTAGATCTTAAATATTCTTTCACAAAACAAAGTTGGTATAAATCAAGAGGTTTTGCATGTAACTGCTCCAAAAGTTTTAAATTTCTATACCAAGGGTGGCTTTTTGCCCCCCACAGTCAACTTTTAGTTACTTTAAGTACAGTGTCAATTAAAATCGCTTTAAATTAAACAGATTGCCAGCCAGTCCAATTTTGGAGCCTAAGCAGAGACGGCACGCGATTACCGAGTCCTCAAGTGATTTCGAGACTTCGAAATTTGAACAACCTCCGTCAACAAACCCTAATTAATTACGACCAACGCCAGACGTACCCCAGAACGGGAAGGCTGTGCGACGACGATATGGACTTATTGAGAAAGTAGGTAAAAGATAGCACCGTTCACGGTTATGCTAAAATTTTTGCAGGTGGCGTTGGAACGATTCGATCACCGAAGACCGGGCGTTCTCCCTCACGTCTCAGGGAGTGGAGGATCTCAAGTTTTTGGCCAGGAAATACCAGACGCGTTTCAGACCGTTTTTAGACCAACCCTACACTGAGGAGTACTACAAGGTAAAAGCGAAACGTGTAGCTCGACCCACCTAACTTTGATTTTAGTTCCACTACTCCGACACTGAAAGAGCACAAGAAAGTTACCAAGCATTTGTTGAGGGACTGTTTCCTCATAGCATGTATCGAATTCATGCAGAAGTCCGACCGGATGATCACCTACTTAAGGTACTAAGCCTGGTGAAGTATTCAAATTTTATAGTCGCCATTTCAGCAAGATCCCTACGGTGGTTGTAGCAGATACGGATCCAGTAGTTACGATTACAATCAACAGTCTTCGCGCGATTATAACCGGCAAGGAGGAGGACAATATGGACAGCAACAACAATATCAATCTGGATATGGACAGGGAGGTTCATATAACCAACCGCAAGGAAGTGGATATAATCCACAGTACAACCAACAGGGAGGATCCTACGGTCAGCAAGGGGGAGGATCCTACGGTCAACAACATGGAGGAGGCAGTTATTACAATCCAGGTGGTTACAATACACAATATGGAGATGATCCACAGGCGTTGATGGAGTATAATAGATTTGTACAGAAGCAGGAATATAAGGAATTGGTTCGTGACGTAAGTCGACGTTTGGGTTTCAAATACAACTTGAACGAGTCGTTGATTGAAGATATGTATGATATGTGTCGATATGAAAAAGCTTGGTACTTACGTTTTCGGTGCATAGTTGGCATTATATGACAAATTTATAGGTATCCACGCGAGCTCTCGCCATGGTGTGCTGCTTTCAATGTTAAACAACTGAAACTCCTAGAGTATGGTGAGGATTTAAAATACTACTACAAATTCGGCTATGGAAACCCGAACAATTTACGAGCTGGTTGCCCACTGCTGAAGGATTTGTATGATCGATTTGAGCAGGCCGTTAATGGAGGCTACGTGAGCCACAAAGTGGTCGCCTACTTTTCTCATACCAACAGTCTGCAGCTATTTTTGGTCTCGTTAGGGGTTGCCAAGGACTTCACAACGTTAACCGCCGACAGCTACATCGGACAAAGTCGCCGGCAGTGGCGCACGTCCAACTTGTCCCCCTTTGCCGGAAACGTTGTCGCCGTTCTTTATCAGTGAGTACCATCAGCCTACCACACCAAAAAAACAGGACCAATTTCTTTAGGTGCCAGTCTAGCGATCAGCACAAGGTGATGTTCTTCTTAAATGAATCTCCATTAGACATACCTGGATGTCAGGTGGGGCTCTGCGACTGGAACGTCTTCAGAGAGAAGGTGAATAGCGCCAACTGCATGTCATATGACTGTTACAACTCCGCAACTATAACATCGAATTCGATATTATTAAATTTGTGTGCAATTTTGTTTGTGGTTTACACATTAACACATAGATTTTAGGTTTGAGTTTGACTCGTAAGAATGTACAAAAATTACGCTAAAATAGTACTGATGTATTTTTTAAATTGTTTAAACCAGTGTACCTTAATAATCTCAAAGGTTGTGCAGTAGGTACAGTGACGATTTTTGTATTTTTATACACAAGCAATTCATTTTAGCAGTATTTGTAGCGTTAGAATTTTTTAAATATAATAATAAGTAGGTACCTACCTACCTACAAATTATTACTTTCGTAATAAGTGAGAAGTTTTAGAGGTATGTTGTGAAGAAAACTGTTAGAATCTCATTTTTCAAAAAATAAAATTATTGTACAAAGGAATTTACTAATTGATTGGATTCCAAGCTTTGTTTTAAGCAAACTCAATATCCATGAAAAAAAATTCCCTGTTCCTGTTGAGAAGAATTATTATGGATTTCAAAAAGAATACTGTCTACCTTTGAGTCAGTGATCTAGCTCCGGCCAGTTATTAGAATCGTTGCACTGCAGTTTGGGACTGTAATGTTAGTGTATAAATAGTAATGTAACTTATGTTTGATTACGTATATTTTTATTTATTTACAATTAACTAGTAATAAATTTATAACAGTCTTAAAATGGATTAATTTATAACAGTAATTATTATTTATCACTTACAATTTATCACAAAATACAAGCGCATCGAAGTTGGAACTGAACCTACCACGCGCTTCAATTTGCGTTTGTGTTTAATGGTACGTTATTAGATAATTACAGAAGGTCTGGGTATAACGGCTTCCGATTTCACAGAACGAATTAGGATCTTTTTGGAGAATACCGCCCGCAGGTACCCGGACCCCAATGAAATCTCGATTTCGGTTTTGTTTATATTTAAGCGAAAATATTTATAACGGTTCCAGTCCGGTTTTGGTTCTAAAAAAATAACGGGTCGGTTCTGTGTATTTTTTTCGGTTCACGGTTCTTTTCGGTTCCTAATCTTTTAGAAAGTATGGCATACTGGCATACAAAAAATTCATTATAACAACGTGATCAATTAATAGGTGTGAAAAAGAAGTAAAAAGTCATGAGTACCAAAATGTGACGTATCGTCACTATTTACAAGGGGAATAAAGGAGGAAGATGGAAATATGTATTTAAACTTAATTTATTGATAAAAAAACAGAAAAAATACACAAAACGGTAGCTATACAGTATTGTTTTTTATTTTTATTTTCTAATACCTCGCCTCTCTTTTTATTATTTACATTTACAGTACCCGTACTGCCTTCAATTTCGACACTTAAAAATTTATAATCCATCGATGGCAATCATAGAGTAATATTTTAACTCCTCCTCCTTTCTGGAGCGATTCACATAAACCGGCACATAGTATGTGTGTCCAATCGCGTTGGAGAGATTCGCGAGAAAAGTTTTTCCAATTGGAACTGGGTTCCGATTTTCGAGAATGTAGCTGATGATGGAACGCCAGATGGGATGATTTTTATTATGAGTCTAGATGGCTGGAGGGCCCAAAATGTTTGTATCATGGATAAAATAGGTGGCCAAAGGAACCTATGGTTAAAAAGATTATTCCCAACTCAGAGCTAAAGGTGAAAAATGGAGAGGTCTAGTTCTTCAGTTCAACCTAACATCAGGACGTTCTGAAAGTACGTTCGGTGTTTGCGGACCATGGCCTTGATTATGATATGGGAACGGGAAGAGACGAAAGGAATTTTTAGTGCAGAGTGAATCGCAGGAGTTGGAAAGGACCAAGCGTTGACTGGTGAGGAATTCCAGGATTTGGAAGCCGAACAGGAAAATCCATTCAAAAATCCTCCTCGTCAGCTCAATCCTTGTTTGGACGATGAAGGATTGATGAGAGTTCAAAGAAAACGATCGATCTGGATAGTTCGGTCACCTAAAAGAAGTATTGAAGACCGTAATGGGGGAAGTGGGAGCACTCTGTTAACAGCTGTTCTCTTATGCACGTATCGAACGGTACTGGAAATTGCATCACTCCAAATCACTTGTTAATTGGAATGGGCTGATTGGACAGCCAGGAAAATTTGTAAATAGCGACATAATGGCATCGAGCTCAACTAGCATGCATTTTTGAAACAGATGGGCGAAGGAGTCTGCCCCTACATTGGCCACTAGGACAAAGTTGACACGAAATTGGTCATCACTTAGAGTTGGAGATATGTTTGGATTCTCGTTTGTGTCGTGATCGACTTTTAAATGGCCTTTGGGGAGGGTAGTGAAAGTGTTCCCTGGAAGAGATGGGAAAGTAAGGGTAGTGAACGTTCAAGCTTCTAGTTATTGATTATACAAGATACAAGATCATGGAACTTTATTGAGTGATGCTCTTGAGATCGAACAAAATAAGTAGTAAATTATTACGAATTCGATTCAATTAGTACCTATTACCGGCTACGTAAAAACCTCTTCGTGTTCTTGGTTCTAAGCAGGGACCCGGATCCAAACGAAATATCGGTTCCGGTTCTGTTTATATTTAAGCGAAAATATTTACAACGGTTCCGGTCTGGTTTCGGTTCTAAAAAGAAATAACGGTTCGGTTCTGCGCATTTTTTTCGGCCCATAACGGTTATTTTCGGTTCTAGTTTTTCAGAAAGTATGGCATTCAAAAAACTCATTAACGTGATTTGTTAATTAATAGGGGCGAAGAAAAAGTCATGAATACCAAAACGTGACGTATCGTCAGTGTAGCTAATTTATAATGACAAGGGGAATAAAGGAGGAAGAGGAAAATTATGTATTTACACTTAATTTATTACTAAAAAACAGAAAATTTTATTTTCTAAAACCTCGCCCCTCCTTATTTATTTTTTTAAAGTAGTGGCTAAATTAGCGCCACCGCCACCCGTAATGCCTTCAATTTCAACACCTTATTAAAACTTTATAATCCACCGATGGCAAACATAGAGTAATATTTTATCAATTGTCAGGACGTGGTTGCGGACGCGTCCTTCAACTTCCAATAACTTGTTAAGAACCGTAAAAAACCGAAAAAAGTGATATCGGTTCCGGTTCTCAATACGTTTCCATTTCTGAAGGAATAACGGTTTCGGTTCGGTTTTCGGTGCAGAAAAAAATACCGGTTTCGGTCCGGTTTTCGGTTCTTTTTCGGTCCGGTTCGGGTCCCTGGTTCTAAGGCGCAGTCAAATAATTGTGTAAATCTCTTCCACAGTCATTTATTAAGCGGCAGAGCAAAGCGGTGTAAGCTTTATACGGGAGTCCGTCTGCCCGTCTGTCTGTTCATGAACACGATAACTGCTAAACGCTTAGACCGATTTGGTTCAAACTTTGCATAGTTGACCTATATGCTACATGTAAGAAGCCCATTGGAAATGGGTCCAATCCAAAGAATGACCCTGTAGGGTCCACGCCTTTCTGTCTGTGGCAAACGCTTGAACTTGTTCAGTTCAAACTTTTCACAGTTGACATATACAGGGTCATTCTTGACAAGTGTCAGAAAGATATGGAGAACATTTGAAAATGAAATTAAACTGATAAGTCCTTTAAGGGGTTTTGGCACATGATGAATTGAACTAAAATATTTTCAAGATGGCGCCACATCCGCAAATACCGGAAGCAGCAATCAACTTTGTTATTTTAAATAGGGAACCCCTATTTTTTCTACATTTATACGTCGAATTTGGTGCACAACGATATCCCATAGTTGACCCTTTGGTCCAAGGGCTTCGTCGATATTCAAGTTTTTATGTCAACAATTGTATTTGCAGGGGTAATTTTAAAAATTTATTATTCGAAAACGGCGAGAGATATTGCAAAACAGTTTTCACTGTTTTATTAAGGAAAGATCGAATTTTCTTATGGTATGCGTTACCGTCTAAAAAAGTGAGACTACGTCACTTTTTCAAAGCTCTCAACTTTTAAATTTTTAAATGTCCGTAACACCATTTTTTCAAATGGCACCCCCCATGTTTTCCCTTTTCGGAGACCTTTAATTTGAAACACAAACGTCAAAGGCTGCTAAAAACAGTTTCCGGGATATATTCCATGTTTTAGTCACTTATTGTAGCAAATTAATTTAAAAAAATTAAGTCGCTTGATGTTATTCTTTTGTGTTTATTATGATAACGTCTAAACGTCAAATTTTCGCTTCTTGAACAGTTCTGAACATTTATTTCTCGTCAATAATGACTCGTTTGGGTTACACTAATGAAGATTTTTTGAATTTAATAAAATCAACTTTATTTAAAAGATCTTTTAGCTATTAAGTACGTCCCGAAGTCATATAACCGTTTGAAGCAGCCTTTGACATTTTGTATCAAATTAAAGACCTCGGAAAAAGGAAAACAGCAGTGAAGAAAATAATTGGGGGTGCCATTTGAAAAATAGGATTACGGATATTTAAACACTTAAAAGTTGAGAGCTTTGGAAAAGTGACGTAGTTTCGCTTTTTTAGAAGGTTACGCATACTATAAGAAAATTCGATCTTTTCTTAATAAAGCAGTGAAAACTGTTTTGCAATATCTCTCACCGTTTTCGAATAATAAATTTTTAAAATTACCTCTGCAAATTCAATTTTTGACATAAAAACTTGAATATCGACTCGACGAAGCCCTTGGAACAAGGGGCACCGTTGTACTCCAAATTCGACGTAGAATCAGAAAATTTAGAAAAAATAGGAGGGTTAAAAGAACAAAGTTGATGGCTGCTTCCGGTATTTGCGAAAGTGGCGCCATCTTGAAAATATTTTAGTTAAATTCATCATGTGCCAAAACCCCCTAAGAGACTTATCAGTTTAGTTTCATTTTCAAAGGTTCTCCATATCTTTCTAACTGACACTCGTCAAGAATGACCCTGTATACCACATATAACAAGGAAAATTAGTCAAATCCGATAACCTCGTAGAGTCACACCGAGGTGCTCTGCTTGTTAGATCCGCTTTAGGGGGTTCATTCATAGTCAGGTGGCTTAATTCTTAACAGCTTAAGCTCCATTTTTGGGAAACGATGCATTTTTGTAAATTTGCCCTTTCGGTTACATAACATTTACGGTTTCGACTTGCGTGTTGGTAATTAGTTGTATGCATAATTGTAATAATGAATCGTAAATATAAAGCTCATTAAACGTTTCATAGTAACAATGACAACGCACACGCACGCAAATTGTGCGCCATCTATGGAATGTTCTCCAAACTTATTGTATTGCTACAGATTTTCTCCCTTGGGGACTCTCTTTTTTTTTTCTGGGTGGTTGTCATTTTCATATTGGAAAGAATTTTATTTGTAGGTGGTCCTTCTAATCATTGGTGTCAGTACTGCTTCTGACACAAGGTCTAGGTTGGATACGGTCTCGAGAAACTAAGAGTGGAG